AGATGGACCAATCTAATATCATAAAAAGAGTTCAATAAACTTATCACGACGAGTTAAAACAATCAATGTTAGCAATCAAATTTAAAGTGCGGAAATTAAAGATATAGAGTTAGAGAGATGCAAACGATATTTATAGTGGTTCGACAAATAAATTTGCCTACATCCACTATCACCGAGATATTCCGCCTCTCGACCTCTTTCACTGTTCGATCGACTTTCCGGCACGATCACTCCTCTTACAAGAAGGCGAATCTTTCTACCCGAGGCTTCGCCTAACCTCTTACACAATGTCGATTTTCCACGGAGATCGACCAACCAAGTAACCCAATACCAAAGTAATGATTATGAGTAATGAAGCACTTAGTTTTACTCTCCTAACAATGGTTTTACACAATTTGAAATCACTAGGAGATGATGAACTCACACTATCATAAATAATTCAAGTTAGGCTCAATTATGTGTGAGAGAGTTAAGGATTTAGAGAAGATGATGATTATGTAGACACAAAGGAGAACTCTCTTTTTGATTTTTGAAACTTTGAATTCGTTCTCTGTTTTTCGCAAAAATTCCTGTTGAGAAAAATGGCTTTTCTCTATTTAACCTCTCTTGCCAACGGTCATATTTTTGCCCGTTTACCCAGTACCGGTCGACCGGAGCGGTTGACCGGTTGAGACAAATTTGAATTCGTGTTGTTTAACATTCTTACGGAGTGTCTGTTGAACAGAACCGGTTGACCGGAGTGGTTGACCAGTTGAGGCATCACCGGTCGACCGGTGCATTTAGCCTTCTCTGTCACCGGATGACGTAGGTCGACCGGTTGACACTTAATTTGCCTCAAATCTTCACACATTTGTACTTTTAGGCCAAATGTCATTATGCACTAAGTTTAGTCTCATTTTTAAAGAATAATGTGAGTGTGTGCATGAGCCTAAACAAGAATTAATCATGATAGTATGAAGTCAAAATCAAATACAAGACTAAGGAGATATTAAAAACCTATTAGTACTTGTCCAGCTTGATTTTGTTTGCTTGCTCTTGATCTTTGGTATTTTAGCACTTCAAGCCTTGAATTCCTTCTTCAATTTGCATTTGTCAATCCTGAATGTATTTGCATTGTATTCCACAAAATGCTTCTTGAGTTGATTTATAACATTAATTACGCTAAATACACAACTCAAAATAGAATCATTAGAAACATAATACATTGTGTTTGTGATCATCAAAACATGCGAATATTTAACCTTGGGCCAACATTTTGTGCCTTAAAATCCTCTTTCGCCTCCTCTTTCCATTGATTCACAAGTTGGGCAAATATTCTTCTTTTCTTCATACAAAATCATCCAAGTTCGCATTTATTTTTAATTGCTATAAAAAACATACAAAAGACATTAAACTAACAATAATGCTTGAAAACTTACAAATATTCAAGCTTAAAAGTACTTAATTTATTGGTAGAAATACCCGTCATCATTGTGTATCTTCATAGGAAGCATGCTATAGAGGTTGACCATCTTGATAATTGAATAAGTAATGGAATTATTGGTTCTGGTACAACCTATAAACATGCAAGGATTTATTCATGATCATTTATATGATTGGATCATGTAATTTTTTTTATCATCTATAAAAGATGTATATGCATGAATTTATATTTCTTTAAGTATTAGAAACATGTTATAGGGCTGAAGAGTAAATGGAGTGATAACATACATGTTGAGGATGATGGTTTTGTATTTTGTAGAATTTCTGGTGAATTTTCGTCCTAGTTTGAGTACTGGAATTTTTTCAGGTTTCATGTCTGAATTTAAAACAGGGTTTCAGGGAGTAAACGAAGTCCGTTTTTAACAAATTAGATACCGTTGGAAAGCTCTAGACGTCTACTTTAATTTGAAATTAGTTTTAGGTCATTTGGATTTATATGTGAATTGTTATGAGTTTTTAAAGGAGTAAAGGTCAGGCTGCCAGTTTTTGTTAAGTTTTGTGATTTTGTGTAATCAGTGAGTTTTTGATGTCTTGATGTTAATGAATGGTGAGAATGGTATATTAAACGTTGTTTTAACGTGATCAATGTATTTGATGAGTTGTCAAGGCATTTTAATAATCTTATTTATGATTTATGACATGAACGGTTCTAGAGGCAAGCATCCGAGGACCTCATTCGTCGCGTCACCATTGTGAAATTTAAAAAGGTTAAGTAAGGCGCTCATGTAAGTACACTCTCACCTGCAACATGAATTGAAAAATTGAGAAGTATATGATTTTGACGTTTATGATGATGTTATGACGTTTTTAATAATCCTCTTATGATGACGTTTTGAAGAAAAATGTATATATGTATTTTTATGTTTTTAAATGGCATTGTACACCCTTAATGGTGACCGGTGAGCGGTCTTATTATCACGGTTGGTATGGGATTTGCTACCCCATGCTTTCCGTGACTAGCGCGCTATGATGGTACAACGTCAGGCCCAATATATGATGGATTTTAAAGTTTAAACATGTTCAAAAATAATTATTCTCATGATGATGTTTATTATTGATGAATAAAAATGTTCATTTAAATTTGTGAGAATCAAGTGTCTTACTAAGCCTTTGCTTATAT